AATTCTGGTCACCACACTACCAGAAGGATGTGGTGGCTTTGGAGAGGGTATAGAAAAGATTTAGCAGGATGTTGCCTAGTATGGAGGGCATTAGCTATGAGGAGAGGTTGGAGAAACTTGGGTTGTTCTCACTGGAACGACAGAGGTTGAGGGACGACTTATGGGGGTCCACAAGATTATGAAGGTCACAGATAGAGTGGACAGTCAAAAGCTTTTTCTCAGGGTGGAAGAGTCAGTTACCAGGGGCTATAGGTTTAAGGTGTGAGGGGCAAGGTTTAAAGGTGATGTATGAGGCAAGTTTTTTTACACAGAGGGTGGTGGGTGCCTGAAACTCGTTGCTGGGGGAGGTAGTGGAAGCAGATACTATAGTGACTTTTAAAGGGCATCTTGACAAATACATGAATCAGATGGGAATAGAGGGATACGGTCCCGGAAGGGTAGGGGGTTTTAGTTCTGATGGGCAGCGTGTCGGTGCAGGCTTGGAGGGCCGAAGGGCCTGTTCCTGTGCTGTAATTTTCTTTGTTCTTTGTTCTTGTTCTAACCTAGGGTCAAATGATGTAGAATCTGTGTAGGTAGAGTTGAGGAACTACAAAGGTAAAAAAAATACATAATTGGAGTCAGGATGTGGGGCACGAAATACACCAGAAGATAGAAAAGGCATGTAAGAAATGCAAGGTTACAGTGATCATGGGGGATTTCAACATGCAGGTGGACTGGGAAAATCAGGTTGGTAGTGGAATACAAGGTAAGTAATTTGTGGAATGTCTATGAGATGGCTTTTTGGAGCAGCTTGTGGTGGATCCCACTAGGGAACAGGCAATTCTAGATTTAGTGACAAGTAATGAGGCAGACTTGATAAGGCAGCTTAAGGTGAAGGAACCTTTAGGAGGCAATGACCATAATATGATAGAATTTACTCAGCAATTTTAGAGGGAGAAGGTGGAATCAGATGTAACGGTATTACAGTTGACTAAAGGTAACTACAGAGGAGTGAAAGAGGAAAGAAGCCTAGCAGGAAAGACAGTGGAACAGCAATGGCAGGAGTTTCTGGGAATAATTCAGGAGACACAGCAAAAATTCATCCCTAGGAAAAAGCAGACTAAAGGGAGGATGAGGCAACCATGGCTGATAAGTCAGGGACAGCATAAAAGCAAAAGAGAAAGCATATAATGCAGTGAAGGGCAATTGGAAGCTAGGGGATTGGGATGCCTACAAAGACCTACAGTGGACAACTAAAAATGAAATGAGGAGGGAGAAGATTAAATATATGGGTAAGCCAACCAGTACCATAAAAGAAAATTGCAGGAGTTCCTTTAGATATATAAAGGGTAAAACAGAGGCAAAAATGGACATTGGGCCACTGGAAAATGGCACAGGAGAAATTGTAATAGGGAACAAAGAAATAGCTAAGGAACTGGACAAATACTTTGCATCAGTCTTCATGGTGGAAGACATGAGTGACTTCCCAAAAAATCAAGAGAGCTGGGGGGCAGAGATGTGTATGGTGGCCATCACCAAGGAGAAGGTGCTGGAAAAACTGAAAAGTCTGACAGTGGATAAATCACCAGGACCAGATGGACTACACCCCAGAGTTCTGAAGGAGATAGCTGAAGAGATAGTGGAGGTGTCAAGGAGGATCCAGAGGACTGGAAAATTGTTAATATAACCTTGCACCCCCCCCTCCCCCACCCCCCCAACCTTTTAAGAAGGGAGTGAGGCAAAAGACGGGAAATTACAGGTCGATTTAGTCTGACTTCAGTCACGGTAAGATTTTGGAGTCATTGTGAAAGATGAGATTTCTGAATACTTGGAAGTGCGTGGTAAAATAGGGCAAGGTCAGCACAGCTTCATCAAGGGGAGGTCATGCTTGACAAATCTGTTCGAATTCTTTAAGGAGGTAACGAGCAGGTTAGACAAAGAAGGGCCAATGGATTTTACCTATTTGGACTTCAGAAGGCCTTTGACAAGGTGCCACACAGGAGGCTGCTGAGTAAGATAAGAGCCCATGCTGTTAGAGGCACGATGCTAAAATAGATAGAAGATTGTTTTCTCCCAGACAGACAGAGTATGGGGATAAAAGGGTCTTTATCAGGATAGCAGCCGGTGACTAGTAGAGATCCGCAAGGGTCAGTGTTGGGACCAAAACTTTTCACTTTATACATTAATGATCTGGATGAAAGAGCTGAGGGCATTCTGGCTAAATTTACAGATGATACAAAGATAGATGGAGGGACAGGTAGTATTGAGGATGCAGGGAGGCTGCAGAAACATTTAGACAGGTTAGGAGAGTGGGTAAAGAAATGGCAGATGGAATACAATGTGGGAAAGTGTGAGGTCATGCACTTTGGTAGGAGAAATAGTGGCATTGACTATTTTCAAAATAAGGAGACAATTCAGAAACCTGAAGGGCAGAGGGACTTGGGAGTCCTAGTCCAGGATTCTCTTAAGGTTAACTTGCAGGTTGAGTTGGTAGTTAGGAAGGCAAATGCAATTTTGGCATTTATTTAGAGAGAACTAGAATATAAAAGCACAAAAGTACTTCTGAGGCTTTAAAAGGCTTTGGTCAGACCACATTTAGCATATTGTGAGCGACTTTGAGCCCCATGTCTCGGGAAGGATATACTGGCCCTGGAATGGGTCCAGAGGTTCACAAGAATGATCCCAAGAATGAAAAGCTTAACATATGAGGAATGTTTGAGGACTCTGGGTGTATACTTGATGGAGTTTAGAAGGATGAAGGGGGGATCTAATTGAAACTTCCAGATTACTGAAAGGTCTGGATAGAGTGGACGTTGGGCAAGTGTTTCCATTAGCAGGAAAGACCAGGATGAGAGGGCATAGCCTTAGAGTAAAGGGAAGACCCTTTAGAACAGAGATGAGGAAAACCTTCTTCAGCCAGACAGTGGTGAATCTATGAAATTCATTGCCACAGAAGGCTGTGGAGGCCAGGTCATTGAGTATATTTAAGACAGATAGATTCTTGATTGTTAAGGGCAATCAAAGGAGAAGGCAGAAAAATGGGATTGAGAAATTTATCAACCATGATTTGGGGAGGCAATGGCCTAGTGGTACTATCGCCGGACTATTAATCCAGAGATCCAGATAATATTCTGGGGAGCCAGGTTTGAATCCCGCCACAGCAGAAGATGGAATTTGAATTCATTAAAATATCTGGAATTAAGAATCTAATGATGACCATGAATCCATTGTCGATTGTCAGGAAAAATCCATCTGGTTCACTGATGTCCTTTAGGGAAGGAAACTGCCATCCTTGCTTGGTTTGGCCTACATGTGACTCTAGACCCGCAGCAAAGTGGTTGACTCTCAACTGCCTTCTTGGCAATTAGGGATGGGCAATAAATGCTGCCTAGCCAGTGACGCCCTCGTCCTGTTAATGAATAAATAAAAAAGAATGGCACAGCAGACTCGATGGACTGAATGGCATAATTTCTTCCATAGAATCCCTACAGTGTGGAAACAGGATCTTATCCTTTGTCTTATGATCTTATGGACCATCTCCAGAGGAAGAACATCAATAGCAAATATTGATGCTGTATGTGGGGTGGAGAGAGGTTAATGTAAAAATTAAAAACTTGAATTTTTATAATACTTTTAATGACTACTGAAAATCTCAATGAGATGTTTTTGAAGTGTAGCCTCAGTTGCGCTGTTGGAAACACAGCAACCAATCTGTGCACAGCAGGCCCCCACAAACAGCAATGTATTAATGCCCAGGTAATCCATTTAATTTGATATCAATTGAAGCATAAATATTGGTCCTGGACTCCGCGAAGAATTCTTCAAAATAGTGCCCTGGGATTTTTACCACACCTTGTAATCTATTCACCTTTTGAAAAACGGACCAAATCATTTGGGTAGACTCACTGGCTCAGACATATAGCTGATTACTAAAGTATCCTACCATGACCTTGGAGTTACTTTGGAGGGTGGGGTAAGAGTTTCCAAAGTGAAGTGTAGGGTTAATGAATGGCCTTCAGATTGGAGTTGATAAAAATATGCACAGATTGGAACAGAAATGATTGATAACATCACCACCATCACAGCATTTCTAAATACAGGAGATAACTGGATAAGTTATCCAAACAATTCTTTCCGGGAGTCCCAGAGTTTAGTCTCAGGCCTCTGTCCTTGGATTGTATTCAAAATCAGCTCACGCAATGAAAGGAAAAACAAGTTTGTGACACATCTGTATTGGAGGCAGAATAGAGCAACATTCAACACAGTGACAATTCTCTTTCCAGCAGTAAAAATCAGAGGGAATTAAGAGAGACATACAAATCCAGAAAGGATTCCAACAGATAAATAGGGAGCAGTCACCAGAGGCTGAATGATTAGAAGCCAGACGATATTGATTTGAGGCCAAGTAAACAAGTTATGAATTCATCGTCTAAAATGTACTGCCACCAGTAAAATTCAGAAGTAACTTGGATAAAAGTGTGAATAGAAATTCTTATAGGGGACTGAGGAAGGACAGGAACTTGGTATGAATTGGATTTCTCTTTTAAAGAGATGGCTGAGATGCTGGTCATGGGATGTGGACATTACTGAGATGTGCTGTGTTGATTGCCCATTCCTGATTGCCCTGCAGAAGGTAATGGTGAGCATCCTTCTGGAACTGCTGTAGGCCTGGGGGTGTAGGGACACCCACCAATAAAGGAGCTCCAGGGTTATCGTTGGGTTTTCACAGAGACTTAATCTGGCTCAGTGTATAAAGCAAATACTGTTAATGGGCTTTTCAAACCCCACTCTCACCTGTACTTACCTATTAATGCCACTCTGCTGCTTGTGAACCATCACAATTTCCAGGACTTTTCCTAAATTCTGACTGCAACATTTTGGCTACAGAATAACTCCTAGAACTTGACCACAAATCCAACACCATAGAGGTATTAAAGTGCTGTTATTTTGTGTTGGGAGCCCAATTACACAGATTCAGTGTCGTGCTAATATCCTTTAGGGAAGGAAACAGCCATCCTTACCTCGTCTGGCCTACATGTGACTCCAGACCCACAGCAATGTGGTTGATTCTTAACTTCCCTCTAGACAATTAGAGATGGGCAGCGACTTCCTCATTCTGTGAACGAATAATAAAAAAAAAGTAATTTCTGCATAAAGATTGTTTCTCTTTCTCTTATGGTTTCCCTGAGCCCCAGTTACTTAGAATTATTTATTTCTCTAGGATTTCTCTGAGCACTCTAGCCACACAGAACTAATGATAAAATCAGTACTCCAAGTATCTCCTTTAGACAAACTTTCAGTCCCTGTCTGCAGTCTTTTGAACTGCTGTTCAAAACCCACACCATCTCCTCCCCCCCCAACCACCTCAAAACTGTCCTGAGTGACCTACTGAAAACTTGCACTAAGTCCCTCCCCTATTTCTGCGCAGTATTGGACGTTTCCACTGAGCAACTTTTGAAACTAAATGTTCCATAAATGTCACCAGTCATGGATGGCTTGCTTAGAGACAAATTGCAGACGCTGCCTGGTCTGCTGTGTTCTTCCAGCCTCCTGTTTGTCTACCATGGATGGGGGATTCGCTTGGTTAGCACAACACAAATGGATATAACTGAAGGATTTCATCACAGTATACTATCTGGAACTACTGATCTTCATTAGTCCTCTTGGGATGAATATCATTTTATATTTTCAACCTTATTTTTGAGGGCATTTTTTTTGTGATTTTTTTTGGAGCCATTTTGCACAGGTGTGGGAAGCTCAAGAGATGGCATAAAGCACTGACATCTGACACTTCATAGTAATTTGATGCTCTTCTTTTGCCGTCGTAAGTCTAACAATCACAAACCATTTTATCACGTTGCTGGGCAGATGCCAGTGTTGTAACCATACTGGAATAGCTTGGATAGGTCACGGCTAGTTCTAGAGTACAAGACTTTACTTGTATTACCAGAATGCAGGAAAGAGTCACCTGATGCTGCCAACTTGTATGGTGTGGAGTGATTCATCAGCATCATCAGCAGTCATCTTTATAGATTTGCTTTATTTCTTTCTTGCTGAACACTTAGGTGCAAAGTGATTCAAGTTCTTCCTGATAAAACACTGCTTTTGCTAAGCTAGACCTGCTTTCCTTTCTTTCTGTGATGTCCTCTGCAGTATTTACATCCTACTCTCTGGCCTTGATCTTACTGCTGGATCTTCTGCAAACATTTTTCCAAAATGTTTTTGTTCAACCTTTACTATCAACATAATGTTTTGCCTGTTCTCCTATTAACATGTTGTAGCTGATATCTGACATTTCAAGACCTTCTGCGCATGTCAATAGCATTCTAGAAAATGTTTCTCCTTTCTTAGCAGATGTGCTCCCATATTAGGACAATCCAGCTGATGCAAATTAATTCAGTTGTCCAAACTCTCAGGATTCAGCTAGATTATCACATACTAGTCAAAAGTCTCCCTCTCCCCTGAAATCTGATGTTGAATAAATACCATTCATAAATAATATTAAAACGGGATCCACAGTATGCCTTTAAAGCCTTCAAAATTCTATCAGTCTGGCTTCTCTGCTCCTCAGTGAGATCTAGGGTCCAATACACCCTGTACTGCTCTTTCTCCAGTGCTAAAACCAGTGCAGACACACTTCTTTTTTTTAAAAATTCAATTCTGCAGCTATCTCATAGCTTTGCCACTGAGTGGAAAAATTCCAAAAAAAAAAAGTTGCTGGAGAAACTCAGCAGGTCTGGCAGCATCTGTAGAGAGAAAACAAATTCTGAAGAAGTGTCACGGTTTTCAAGCTGGGCAATATATCCTGCTTCAATGAAGAATGCAGAAGGTACGTCAGGCGAAACACCATGCACACCTAAAATTGAGATGGTAACCTGAAGACAGGCGATACTGCAAAGACTAAGGGCCTGATGCATTCTGGTAATACAAAGAAAATCTTGTACTCTAGTACTAGCTGTGACCTACCCAAGCTATTCCAGTATAGTTACAACACTAGCATGTGGAAAATTGCTCAGATACATCCTGTGCACAAGAAGTAGATTAAAACCAACTCAGCTGATTACTGCCCTATCAGTTTGCTCTTGGTCGTCAGTAAAGTGATGGAAGAGTTTGTCAACAGTGCTACCATAAGCCCTTGTTCAGCAATAACCTGCTCACTGAGGCCTCGTTTGTGTTCTGCCCGAGCCCATCTTGCTCCTGCCTCAGTTAGCTCAAAAATGGATAATTCCAGAGGGTAGGTGAGTGACTGCCTTTGACATCAAGGCCATATTTAACTGCGCATGGAAGCAAGGAACTCTGGCAATATTGTTATTCTCATTATTCAAGAAGGGCACAGGGATAAACTAGCCAATCAAGTTAACCTCTGTGGTGGGGAAACTATTGGAAGCAATTCTGAGGGGCAGAACTAATTGCACTTGGCAAGACTTGGATTAATCAAGAACACTCCATTGTTTTGATAAGGCGAGGTCATGTCTGACCAACTTGATTGCATCTTTCAAAGAGGTAATCAGGTGTGTAGACAAGGACCATGCATTCAACATAGTCTACTTGGATTTCAGCAAGGATTTTGATAAGGTCCAGTATGGGAGACTGATAGTGAAGGCAAGAGGCTTTTAGAATCAAGGAGATTTGGCTAATTGGATCCAGAATTAGCTGAGTGGCAGGAAACCGAGGGTGATGGTCAAGGAGTGTTTCTGAGACTAGAAGCCTGTGTCCAGTAGAGTTCCTCAGGGATCTGTGTTGGGGCCCTTGCTGTTAATTGTAGACATAAATGAATTAGACCTAAATTTCGGAGGGTTGATTAGTAAGTTCACGGATGATATGAACATTGTTGTTGAGGTAAACAGTGAGGAGGATAGCCTTAGATTACAGGAGAATATGGATGGGTAGTGAGATGAACTTATCAGTGACAAATAGAATTCAATCTAGATGATGCACTTCGGCAGGACAAATAAGGCATGGTAATACATGATAAATGACAGAACCCTGGAAGCACTGAAGATCAGAGGGACCTTGGTGTGTGTATATACACTGGTCCCTTAAAGTAGTTTGTTTTTTATTTACTGTCACATATATTCAATATAAAATTATAGTGAAAAGTGTGTTCCATCACCATGCATTGACGCCATTCTCGTTAACTTAAAATAAAATAAAAAGAGAATCCGACTTTTCATTCTCCACTGCTACAGTCCCGCACGGACTACATCAGCCTATGCCATGCTGCTGCCAGAAATTTAAGGTAAAGGGCAGAAGGTTTAGAGGAGATGTGAGAAAAAACGCTTTTTACCAAGATGGTGATGGGAATCTGGAACTCACTGCCTGTAAGGATGATAGCAGAAACCGTCAAACATTTAAGAAGTATTTAGATGTACACCTGCGATACCAAGGCATACAAGGCTATGGGCCAAGCACTGGATTAGAATAGTTACGTGGTTGTTTTTGACCAGCACAGACTCAATAGGCTGAAAGGCCTTGTTCTGTGCTGTAGATCACCATGACTCTAGAGTCAATGGGAATTGGAGAAAGAGCTCTCCATCGGTTGGAGTCATACCTGGCACAAAAGAAGATGGCGTGGTTGTTGGAGGTCAATCATCTCAGTCTCTGACCAGCACTGCATCAGCTTCTCAATGTGATGTTCTAGGCCTTAATATTTTAAGCTGCCTCTTCAATGACCTTCCATCATAAATTCAGAAGTTTTCTGTTGATTGCCCAGTGTTCCAAATCATTCATATTCCTCATATACTGAAGAAACCTGTATCCATATGCAACAATAAATGGACAACATTAAGGCTTGGACTGACAAGTGGCAAGTAATATATCATACAAGTGACAGACAATGACTATCTCTAACAAGGGAGAATCTAGCCATCAACTTTTGACATTCAATGGCATTACCATTGCTGAACTCCCCCCACTAGCAACAACTTGGAGGTTACAATTAATCAGAAACTGAATTGGACCAGCCATATAAATACCATGGCTAAAAAAGGAGGCTAGACACTGGGAATTCTGTGGTGACTAACTTGCTGACTAACTTGCCTCCTAATTCCCCAAAGCATGTTCGCCATTTAACTGGCACAATTCAGGAATGTAATTGAATGAGTACAGTTCCAGCAACACTCAAGAAACCCAGCACCATAGCAGCCCGCTTGATCAGTATCACAGCTACAAACATTCACCCCATCCACCAATGATGCATATTGACAGCAGTGTGTACCATCTGCAAGAAGCACTGCAGCAACTCACAAAGGCTGCTTCCAAACCTGCAACATCTACCTCTTAGAAGGACAAGGACACCGGCTGCATGGGAACACAAGTACCTGTTAGCCTTGCATTAATAGTAGGATATATGTTAGAATCTATTATAAAGGATGTAATAAATAGAGATTTGGGTAATAATTATCTGATTGGGCATAGTCGGCATGAACCTATGAATGGGAAATCATGTTTGATGAAACTGTTTGAGTTTTTTGACGACATTACTAGCAATCCCATAACCGAGGGAGGAGCGCGAGGGGAGGGGGTGGTGAGGGGAGGGGGTGGCGAGGGGAGGAGGGATGAGGCGAGGGGGGAGGGGAGGGGATCAGATCTAAGCTCTGCAGCATTTCCACATCCAGTCCTGGATGGTGGTGGACAATTCAACAACTCAGCGGAGGAGGAGGTGGCTTCACAAATATCCTCATCCTCAATGATGGAAGAGCCTGGCACATCAGTGCAAAAGATAAGGCTGAAGTACTTGCAGCAATCTTCAGTCAGAAGTGCTGAGCAGATTATCTATCTCGACCTCCTCCAGTGGTCCCCAGTATTACAGATATGAATCTCCAGCCAATTCGACTCACTCCACATGATGTCAAGAAACAGTTGAATTCACTGGATACTGCAAAGGGCCCTGACAACATTCTGGAAATAGTATTGAAAACATGCGCTCCAGAACTGCCATTCCCCAGCCAAGCTATTCCAATAACAGTTACAATACTGGCATCTACCCGACAATGTAGAAAATTGTCCAGGTATGCCTTGTACGTAAAAAGCAGGATAAATCCAACCCATCCAATTACCACCAATCAGTC